TTTCGTGCAATTTAAAAACATGAGCCTGAGAATTATTTATTATTATTTTTTTGAGGATTTAGATAAATGACTGTCATTTGCCTATAGGCCTAACCCTTGGCTGAGTTTTGCAGATAATAGATGGCTTCTGCCAAAACAATTTTTAAACACAGTGAACAAGTCCTAGGGTCAGTGGTTATTTTTTGCAGTGCTAGTGCTAGTCATTGTATGTTTATGGATCACTGGACTAGAGGGGCTAACCTACTTTTCTAACATTTTAGGCATTAACACTTTCATGTATATTTTTTTTTAACTAACTTTTAAAAGCATTAAAAGGAACACCATTTTACATCTTTTGAAAGAGTACGCCATTCGTACGTAGTCGCATTACTGTGCCTCAGCTCATGGCAGATCATTTAGTGCCAACAAGAACAGGAATCTCAGCTACTACATTGCGTAGACGCTTGCACAATACGGGTCTTGATGCAACACGACTACTTGTTTGTGTCCCTTTACCCGAGGACACAGAGGTACGCGTTTATATTGGGTAAGATAACCGGTTTTCTGGATCAGTCAATATTGGGCGTCTGTTCTCTTCACAGACGAGTCCCGGCTCACATTGGAGAGTGATTCAGGTCGTTAGCTTATAAAGTATTTCTCCCGCCTTCATGGCATGCTTTCGTGGTGTGGTGATCTGCACGCTAGGCGCGTATTCCAGAGGTCCGTGGTTCGATTCTCGGCGAAGGCGTTGCTAATTTTTCATCTTGACTGCTTCCAAAAATACTTAATGTCTCTACAAGCTGATCTGGAGGGCACTAGATACAACCAAAAAGAAAAGGACAGAAAGACACATTTTCAAAGATGGTAAAATAATGGTTTGGGCTGGGACCTCTCTCGGTGGTGACACTGACCTGCACTTAGGAACTTTGATCGGTGTGAGATATCGAGATATTATTAAAGAACTGTTTAGTGAACATATCCTGTAAATTTCTTGTTTCTGTGTTGTTTAAATCAATCAAATTAATTCTTGATCAGTATGTCCGCCCATATACCGCTGATACTGGTCCTGGATTTCTTCTGATGGATAACAACGTGCGACCGCACCGAACTCGGGTTGCAAAAGAATATCTTGAGGGTCACGGTAAGGAGCGGATGGAATGGACAGCTCAATTCCCAGACCTGAATACGATAGAGCATCTTTGAGACTACCTTGGGAGACAGGTTGCTGCTTTAAGTCCTCATCCAGGGTCGTTGCATGAGCTTGAACAAGGATTTACTCCGTGTCTGGTCGTTGCTTCCCATTTCACTCACCGACAACTTAACTGACAGCGAGGAACGTCGCTGCCGCCAATGTGCCAATGTATTGCAGCTAGGAGTGGACACATTCCTTATTAGAAACATATTTTTGTAATTTTACAAACCCATTTTTCCTCAAAAAACTGTGATGTTCCTCCAAGACTGGATTTTTCTACCAAGAGTGCAATTTTTTGTTGTAATTCATGTTTGTGTTGAACTTTAGAAACATGCTACGTCGCATTCACTAAAGAAGTGTTTAGTGAACATGTCCTGTAAATTTCTTGTTTCTATGTTGCTTCATCCTCAAATTAGACACAAAAAACATACTGTTCCTTAACTTTTGGAGGACAGTTGAATATTATAAATCCTGTTAAGTCGACCATCTCCTTAAGATGATCACTTCTAAAAGCGACAAATACCGTATTTGTCCCTCCATTTTTGCTAATTTTATCATCGGAAAATGGAGAGGGAAAAGTTACGCGAATAATGAAATTTCCGAAGGAGGAGGTTACAGTAGGAAAATAGCAAATGGAAAGAATTTAACTTCATCTCAAATTATTTTACGTACCCGCAAGTAGCAGAGGTTTATCTGTAGCATAAGTAGTCATTTCTGCTAATTCAGAGCAGGGCTTCTTAAACATTTTTCAGTCGCGACCCCTTTCTATCCCTGAGATATTTTTCGCGACCCCAGGACAATTAATATTTAAGAAAGTTTTGTGGGACCCCATAAACATTGCGCAAATCCGACACACGCGTTAGTGAAATGTCAATTTTTTCACTTGTTCTGTAATTTAATATTGCAGTTTTAGGTCATTTACTTTAGTTTCTAATTTTAAGTCATAGAGCAATGTGAAAATTTTAAATAAGTAACAGACAAAATGATAGCGTCACGTGCAAAGCAAGTAAAATGAACGTTTATATTATAAAAAGAATGCGTCGAAACGTTTTTATTTTTTCTTTGTCTGTATTGTCTTATCTTTATCTATTTTCAGCTACAATATGTAAAAATATTTGGACAAATGTAAGATTATAACATTAAGTTAAAGAAATATTAAAACTGCTAAAATTTTTGATGATCCTTTGCTGCAGGTCCCGCGACTAAGAAACTCTGATTTAGAGAATTCCATAAAAAAAGGGATTACTTTATCCTTTCTAAGACTTTGTCACTTGAATCCAGTCTAGAGCAATAACTCGCTTGTCAGTCTTGTAGGTCTCAAAAATATTAAGTTAAGCTATCTTCTTTGAGAACAGCAGTGTTTTATTCAGTACTTCTACTGGGTAACCTTGATGAAGATTATCTATAATGAATTCGTATAGCAGTAATCTACATAGTATATATTTACGTGATACGGAAGGACATTCCATCGCAATTTGGCAGGCCTATTATGTTATAACATCGACATTATTAAGATTTATTATCTTAATAGTTTTTAGTCTTCGCAGAAGAATTAATTTAGCATTCATGGAGAACAAGACCTCTGCTCCGTAGCGAGGAGAGCTTTGTGAGAAAGACTAATTAGAAATTAGTTTTTGACAGTAGCATTGTCGTAGTGATTGATTGGCATGATGACAGTTCCCTTCGTAAAAATCAATGGGAGGAATATTACGCGAGTAAATATTTCAGTGTCGCATTGTCTTGAAGTTTCAAAGAATTGGAAAGACGAGAATTTAGCTAGAGTTTCAGATCGCTCACTGAATAATTCTTACGTATTATGCCTCGGCCATAGTTTGGGTTTTAATCAGGAATTCTTCTAGAGCTGAGAAATGTCTGTTATGAGGAGCAAACACTGCTAACAAATAGTAGTTATTGCCCTGGTCTTTTCCTCTGGATTGCGAGTCACAACTTTTTTTTTCCAAGAGACCTTATTCCACCCTTAAATGTAGAAATATTTAAATTTATTCCACCCTTAAATGGTATAGTGTAGATTTCATAGGATTTGAAACTTAAATGGTCAAATTCTTCCCTGGTCACGTTGTTATCTACCAAAACTTTTGAGATCCGTTATGGAGAAAACTTCTAACTGCACTCAAAGTAATGGTAGAAGTAAAGTTATTGCCGAAAATTACCAATAATGTAAAAATGAGTTTCAACAGTCGGACTTGAAATTTCTTTACGCTGCTTCGCATTGCTTTTCAGAACGACTGAAACATTCAGACTGAAGCGAACTATCAAAGGAAGCGGCCACGAATGCTTCCTTTGATAGTTCGTAAGACGAACTCTTGTTCAAAATGATGTCAACCTTTACCATGAAACTCTTCTATATTTTACCACAGCACATTTATTATTTGAATATCAGCTCCTGGCTCAGGAGTTGAGCTGTGATAATAATCAATACAAGCTATGACTTCAGTTTGACGCTTTTGTTGAAAAAATAAAATCATTCTGTGGCAAGGTTACATTGTACGGGTTCTAGGTTACAAGAATTCGACGAGAGATGAAATGAAAGACCAAAAAAGAAAATGATTTAAAAAACAGAAATTCCACTTTAGATTGAAAAGATTAAATTCTGTATCCAGTCAGCTACATAAAAAGAGATTCACGGTATTGATTTTTCGGCGTTTCAAAATTTTCGAAAAAGGGGCAAAAAATTAGTTTCCAATAACATCAAATGAGCTGGAAAATCTCTCTCTCTACCTTTATATATATATATATGTACATACCTCTGTCTCGCTATAAATATATATATATATATACCTCTGTTCGCATAAATGTCATATCATTTACCTGAAACTTGCAGTCATTGAATATGGCTGTTAAGAAGATTTTACAAACGCTATGTCGAAGGAATGTATGATATGACATCATACGAGACAGCGCAGTGCGTGCTGTAGTTCAAAGAGATAAAACCTCTTTCAATTAGTTGAAGATACAACATTTGGGGCAAAGGTCGTATAAGCGATGAAGCCTATTTTTCTTCAAATTTTGACAAAGATCGCTGGCATACCACAACTGTCTCATTTCCCAAATTTCTCACTCTTTGACTCCATTCTTAAAATGATGTTACTGAGTCAATGTTTATAGACCATTCAAACGACCAAATACGATACGACAACTAATCTACCACAGGCTTTCTGTAAATGCTTCGTGGAGTGTCAGGAGAGCGAAAAGCAAGTGTACCTGTTCTGACGGATTATCTGATGGAATTCAAAGGTGATTAAGTAATCAGTTTATATATTTCAAATAGAGCATTTTCCCCGAATTGTTAAATCACAGTAGTACGTATATATTTGTTTAGAAAGATCATTTTAATAAAAAGTTTATTTTTAAAAAAGTCGTTTTTAGTTCGCTTTTAGCGTGAAAAAAGGAAATGTGTGTTTTATGTCTGATTTCATATCTGTGTATTTCATATTTATTTGGTACCGTAACAGGCAGAAATTTGCCTTAAGGTCATCCATGTAAAAAAATGTTAAACAGAAATTAAATCATGACATTCTTTTGTGAGAAAAAAGATCTACCCAATAAAAAAAATTTTAAATTGATAATAATTTGGTCAATATAAACAAATTTTGAGGAAAATATTTTTCCATCGAAAACAGTATTCAAGTTAGTTTACTTACTTTGTGGATCATACAAATATACCGTTACTGAAGGTATTGTTAGTTTTAATGTTACAGTTCTCTAAAGTAAAAGATTATTTCTGCGTTCTTTTCCAGCTAAATACAATCCAGAAATGCTGTTTTACAATGTAGAGATGTTAATATGTATGTTTTGCATAAAATATAAATCCGAGAAAGGCTGAGATTTTTATTTCATAATGCTTTTATTATATACAGACATTAAATTTTTTTCTTAACACGATAATCTCGTGATCACACTTCAGTTACTATTTACAGAACCTATTTCTGTCAAAACGTGCTTTTTAAAAAAGACATAATAAACTACAGTACTGTAAAATGAATTTATTCAAATTCATGACACATCATGATCGGAACTCGATCGAACTGGCAGTAATAAAATAAAACTAATATAAACATAGCAGTAATAGTTTTATTAAAAGTATCAACTTTCAGATTCTTACGACACATTTGGCACGTTAAAAGAGTAAATATATCAAACAGGTGTTACATTTAAAAGGTTAAAACAGAATCGATTTTACAACAATCAAATATTAAAATTTACACTGCAGTCCATTATTAAAATTTACACTGCAGTCCTTATGAGAAAATATTTACTTAGAAAGTTTTTAAATATTTCACACTTCTATAACCTGTTGGACTTACTGAAATTAACGCAAGCTATTTTAATATGCTTATAGAAATCAAGAACCGTCAAATTCAAATCAGTTGAATAATAATGCCTTTTCTGCATAAGTCTTTCGTGTGGCATTCAACCACACATAAAGTCGAATAAGTTACAGATACTCTTTGTTTCTGGATTGTTCTTTTTTGTTAAAGATAAAAATAACATCAGAAAGACATAATATTAATAGAAGAATATTTTATGACACATTGTGTGATTCAATATAAAAGTCCTTTCTATAGAATTTAGGAAACAAATTCTTCATAAAAATAATTTGGCGAACATTGTCTTGAATCGTTCTTGATTATGCAAGTAAATTGCAGCTCCTCCTCTTTTTTTATTGAGAAAAACATTAAGTGAGGAGTTTTTGATAAAATTATCTCTTTTCTTGGCAGACTTTAATATTATTTGAAAGCTAAAACTTCTCTTTTTGGCTCTTTGTATGACTGCAGTTTACAAGAATAATTTTAGTAGTCGACCTTTATCTAATTCCTCATAACACTATTGAATTAATAGTTTTTATAGTTAGTTTCTACATCTTCTTCACATGTAGAAAATTATATTTTAAATAATATTTACTGCAGATAAATAATTTAAATTTATACTTATACCAATTAGAAATACAATGAAATACATGTACTTTCAAGCCACAGTGATTCTCATTGACCCGTTGGCAAAACACTTAACACTCGTTTAGGAAAGGTGTCAGATAGAAAATAGTGTATGTAAAGAGGAATCAAAGATATACTTCCATCTAGTTAATACAATTTTGTTGCAAGTTTTATAGTTTTTATTCCTTCCTCCTTTTTTTCCCCTCTTTAAATAAATATGAAATAAAAACGTAAAAAGACCTAATTTTAAGCATCCTGTTCTTTTATTCTGTTTGGGAATTAAATTAGTCCGCAGTGCGCATGCGCGTTTGAGCTTTTAGTAGCGATTGTTACGGTGTGTATGTGATTCTGGAAAAGCCTCGAGGGCTATCTGCCTAAAGGGAAGGATGCCTTCGTGGAGGGCTTTCTAAGGGAAACTGGCTCGTATACACGTTACACATAGGGAAAACCAGCGATTGTTAAGGAAAGAGTAACTTTAAAAAATCTTTCGCGCGTTCTATAAAAACTAAAAGTACAATAGGTCAAGATAGATTGGAAAGAGAAATCAAGAATGAATCTAATAGATTAAAAAGAGAGTACTTTTCTGAGCTTAAAAGGTGCTGAAGTTTTACATAACAGTAGTAATGAATGCATTTTATTGTTACAATATATGAGCTAGAAAGCCAATAAAATTTTCATATTCAAAAATATATTCCCGTTTGGTGGTACATTTCTATTTTGCCCATTGCAACTAAATAAATTATCTTTTACGTTTATATAGAGATACAAAAATTATCCCAAAATAGTTAAAATTTATAATTCTTATACAGATGGCAGCTTTGATGTAATGAATTTGTACATTTTCAACATTGCTATGCATGACTTATTTCTAGAAATATGAATGAAATATCAGCTTCTATTATTGTTAGAAACCTGGCGGCATGTTCTGAAACTGACGAGATATTATTCTAATGTTCCTTGAATTCACAGGCTAGGAAAGTTTAACACTTAAAGCAATAAAGAAAAATTTAACAGAATGAACAGGAAATTAAGAAAACAGTTTTTATAAAAGGAAGAACATTTTAAATTTTTTCGAAAATTGCTAAATTAGGTAAGTCTGCTACCAAATAAGAAAACTGAATAATGACGGAAAAATCAAAACCACATCTACAGATTAAAAATTGAAAAACTTGACGAAAACGATTACAGTGTTAAGCTCATTTTGGGAAAAAAATGACTTCTGGATAGCTATGGAACTAAATTTCTGGACATAAAGAAAAATAATGTTTTACAAATTAAAAAAAATTATATCAAGTTTCTTAACCATATTTTTAAAATTTTAAATTCGGGTGAGTTTTAAATTCTTTTGTCTATATAATGAGATAGAAAAGCTTTTAACTTCAGCAAACTTGAGTTAAAAGCTTTGATATAAAATAACAACTTTCATCTGAATTTAATACCTAAAACTTAAAAGTTTTACAAAATGTTTTATCTAAATACATCACGTGATCATCTAAGTTTATTTTCAGGTAAAATTATCTTTTATTTGAAAGAAGTATTTTAAAACACACTCTGCCTTCTTTATGGGGATGGGGTATAGTTGCAACATGTGATCATTAGAATGGAAATGCCGCAACACAATTCGTAAGAATTATCATTCAAAGATATTAATCAGTTAAAGTATTAATCAATAAAAATTTAGAATTAATACATTTAATTTAGTATTAATTAATAACACGTTTGAAATTTATGGATAATATACGCTATCTGAAGAAAGGAAAGTAAATATACTTTAGACAAATTCAGACAGTTTCAGCTTGACAAAAATCTAGGATGGAATAAAATACAGAATCTTTGTTACTGATCATAAGTTTATGTCAGAGTTTTCCTTTAACAAACGGGAACATTAAAAATTAGTGTTAAATGAAATATTTAAAAGAACTAATTTATACTTTACATACTTGAACAAAATACTAGATATCAATAAACAAACACAGAAGAAGAAAATTTTCTCCCAATAATTTACAAAATAAAAAGGGGGGAGGTATCAAAACAAAGTTTATGATATTTACAGATAATTATTGACTACCTAGATGGTCAAGAAACAGTACTTTAGAAACATAAAATTATCTTCTTCGTCCCTTACATCTTAATTGACAATTCTTCACAGATCTGGGTGTTGCAATTTAATCAAAGTCGCCGCATCTACCATTTCTTTGACGTCGTTGATACCGACGCATGCGATCTGGCCAATCACGTTTCCATTCAATAACACTGCTGTCTCTACTTGCATGCAAACCAGCATATTTTTTACTTTCTTCGTTATTTCCTGCGAATGAGAGGAAAATTATTAATAAATTTTTGCATTAAAGCTGTGCTGAATTATACACTTCTACTAAAAAATAAGCAACAAAGGCAAAACACGGAATGAAACAAAAAATATTTAATGGCTATGTAATGAAATCGATCTAAGATGTTGGTATGGTATTACCAGACCACACAGCAAACAATAAAGCAAAGACATACAAAAGCATATGTATCACGACAGACCAAATGGGTCAGAAGAATGTGCAATCGAAATAATTATTGATAATTGGTATGTTTTAGCACAGTTAAGCTCATTTAGCACAGTTAAGGCGTTTGAGTACCCTATCCTCTATTTAGCGCAGTTTTATTGAAGAAACATGAGATGAAATCTTTATTAACAAGTTGGAGAGTTTGCTTAACTCAAATAGAATACAAATCAAAGTTAACAGTCTTCCAAGACATTTAAATTAAAGTGTTGAAATAAAGAACTTACAAGAGTTTCATTTATAAGTTTTAAATAGTTTTACCTATAGGCAATATTATCAGGAATATATTCTATAAAAGAAGGTAACATGCTGAAAAAGAACGAAGCAGAAATATAATACAAGTACAAAACCATTTTTAAGACTTCTGCATCTGAACTAAATCTAGGTAGAATCCATTTTCGCCGATATATAGTTTGGCGCTCGTTTGTTTTCGACGTTGCCGAGTTTCATTACACAAAAGTGACGCAAATTTATTTTAACAATAATAAAATATTTCTATTGCACATTCTTCCCACTCATTTGGTTAAAAATGGATATGATACCCTCTAGCTGAAACGCATGCTTGAGAACGACAAGGCAAGCTGGAAATAGTGTCGTTGACCGCTTGTTACAGCACTGGCGCCCATTCCTGTAGTAATGTATGTTTGGAGCTCGCGGAGGGTGCCTAGCGGCACACTGTGACCTGATATGCATCATCCTAACATGTTCCACATATGCTCTTTAGGATTTAGATCCGGAGATCTAGCAAGCCACGGCAGATGTGAAATGTTTTCACTCTCCAGATAACTCTGCACCACTCGAACTCTATGCGGGTGAGAGTTATCGTCATTAAATATCACGTCGGTACCCATGGCAGCGATAAAAGGACGCACAAGAAAGTGTAGAATTTCGTCGCAATATCGGACGGCTGTGACGAACCACCAGGAGTCATGTAGAGTCGGTGCGCAGTTCGTTGCTATCCCAGCCCATACAAATAAGCCTCCTCTTCTGTAATGCTCTCTTTCAACCATGTTTGGCACCCGATAGCGTGTCTCTTCCTCTAGCTATATCATTGCCCTTCAAAAATAGCTTTGGATTTTCAATCGAGACTCAGCCGTAAAGAGTGCGTGTCCCCAATGCTCTGGTGTCTAACGGCTATGTTCACGGGCCCAATTCAACAGCGCTTTGAAATGCGATAAGGACAAAGGAACATAAACTACAGATCGTCGGGTGTACAATCCACCTGCATGCAGTCCACACGACACAGTTTGGCAGGATATGGGCCGTCTTGCAGCAGCAGATGGCATCTTGCACATAGCAACAGGAAGCGATTGTCTGCCGTCGTGGTAATCCTCCAGCGTCCAAACCCACATCTTCTACAGGGATTTTGATACAGATGGTAGCTATTCACAGCTTACTGATGATGACACTACGATGCACATTCAGCTGTCTCGCAACAGCGGATTGCCTTGTATCAGCTTGCAGCATCCTGACAGCCCTCCAACGCATTTCATCGTGTAAAATGCCTTCGGTTCATGCTTTCCGCTTTGGTTATCTCGGAATACACAGAATTATCGCTGCTTGCGAACCGGCACATCGATCCGACATGCCCCTTTTGAAGGCGTTATGGTGTGACTGCGGAATTGCGTTTAATGGTAATTTTGATTGACTATTTATATTCGGCGATGCAACCACTACCTCATAGGTAAAGTGTGTATTTTAAATCCTATATATAGAGAGAATAGAAATAAACTTAAAAATAATGAACAGCAGGAATTTTGATGGCGTAGAAATGTTGATCCATATTGAATAGGGAACTAGCAGCCGAGGTACATTAAATCATCGTTTTATTTTCAGTAAACATATTGCCAGCCACAAACAACTTGCCACATTTGCCTATTTCAAGAGATTTACATTTTTGATAACTTTGCAGCAAGAAGGAAGCAGCAGACAGCAGTCCAGCTAGGCCGAAGAGTAGCGAGTAAGTGTGTTATGTTCAGGATGAAATCTTAATTCAGACTGAGTTAGTTTTGGTCCTCAATGCATTTTGATTGGATAATTAATACTGCTGTAAAATTATTATTGGCTATTTTAGTTCCATTTAAATCATCAGAATTACGTAAGAGTCTTAAATGACATGCAGTAGTCTCGAAATGACGCAGTGCAAATAGAGATTAGTATTTTTAGAATACAGAGGGAAAATTAATTTGCATTGCTAATTTAAATTATAGTTTATCTTTTACATATTTTTTATTTTTCTTACATATGTTTACTGAAAATTAAAACAAGATTTAATATGCTCCGGCTCTCCTATTCATTATGGATCAACATTTCTACGCCATCAAAATTCCTGCTGATTATTACTTCTAACTTTGTTTCTATTCCGAAAAGTCGGCAAGGATTGTCTTCCGTGCATCACTTTTTTCTGCATATCTAATTAAACGAATTTCGATGCAAATATGTGCCATGCTTATTTTTAATTCTTGCGTTCATAATCGCTCGCTCGCGTTTTGCCAGTATCTACGAAAAAAAAAAAGAAAAATACACTGTGAGACCGTCTATGATTTAAATGCTTTCAGCTCAACAAGAATACACTTCAATCAACTACAAAGCGATTCACTATTCCATTCATCAATCTGTGTTTAAGGAAAGTGTTTTGAAGTATCATATGCGAGATACTTCCGTTTTGCGTGGAAAATTAATAGTCATCAAGCGTCATATACTTCGCGCGAGATGAATTGCGGAAAATCCTTTTAATACATTTTTCTGATTTCTGCGTTTTTGAAACACGGCCTTATGCTTATCCAAATGATTTTCTTTCAATCAAATTGTGTTAAATTCCCCTCCCCACAAAATGATGCTGGTTCATTGGATTTTAAATTTTGTATCAACAGTTTTAGTTAAAATTCTTACAATTTAATTTTATTGCTTTAAGATAAAAAAAATATGCAAATCAGCTTTATAATTTAATTTGGTAATAGCCATTTAATTGCTCTTTTTAATTTGGTTACTTTCTCTTTATCATAAAAATAATAATAACATTTCCGGACTGCGTTTCTAGAATAGTCTAGATTCTAGAAGATGCCAGAGCTTGCGTAACGCTGATGACGTAGTTATTTCGGAACCTAAACACTGAGAACTGAAACCTTTCTAACGTAAACCAAAATCAACCTTCCTTTGGTGAGCTGACATATTGGATAATACACTTCTCTTGTAACTCTGTTGCTGCTTAGATGCTATTTCGCTGTGCTCTGTTCCTGTCGCAATTGTATTAAAAAATGTAAATGTTCTGAAAATAACCACGATTAGAGTGCCAAGTGAACTGTGACTCTAAATATGAATTTAAATAAAAAGAGAATTAAAGCTGCCACGACTGACGAATTTCTATTCCATTGTGGATCGACATTTCATTATTCTATGCAATCAGTATTCTTCCTCTCCAATATGGAATCTACGTAAAACACTGCTTTTTCTCTTTTTTATATCACATATATCTATATATATTTAAGATATAATAAAATACGATGGCTAAGCTAAGAAATAATTGGCAACCTCAAAATAGACTATTCTAAATTGTATGCTCTCCCCCTAAGTTTATGTTTTCTCCCAAAGTCAAGATTTTTCCAAATTACCTAACACTGTTTGCAAAGAGAACTTAAACCTAAAATTAACCAACCGCACTTAGCTGTACATATGGCACCTGCCTAGTATAAATACTGCTTGACGAGGAAATACGTCACTTTTCTTCTTAACGTCTCCCGTCATGCAAAACCTCTGCGCTGCTGTGCTTTATTGTTCTTTACCTTAAGACCCGTATACATAATTATTATTGTTGCTAACTACGATCTAGAACTATTTTGACTACAAAAAACTGATTTAATGTACATTACCGTGGAATAAAATTATTTTTCCAAACGGCCACGTCTGAAAATTTTGGTAAATTTACATTAATTATTTCGTAAAAATTTCACGGGTGAAGCCTTTCACTCAAACATTTCAGAGATATTTCCAAGAAAATTCTACTAGGTAGGAGGAAGCAGTATAAAGAATCTAACATATAAATAAAGGGTTCATCGGAAAGTAATGCAGGGTTTATGTTTGCCAAAATTCAAATGCTGAAGTTCTCAAAAACCAGGCGATGTTCTCTTTAGTGAAGAATCGATGTTCAAATGTTCAATTTAACGTCCGAGTATAAAAATGCACTCAAAAGAAAGAAAATATTCTTAGCAATATTCAGTGATTTGACTGAGCGCCCTGAAAATCCGACTATATATCGCTAAAAGTTTGAAAGATTGATCATCACAGAAGCTAACAATGAAAGTCAAATGCTGATCCATTCGAAAATTTGGTCAGAAGCAATCATCCGATTGTTAAAAAAATGGCGCATCAACGATGCTATAGAGCAGGGATTCTCAACAGGTGGTACGCAGGAGAAAAGTAGGTGGCATGCAAAGAAAGAAAGTAATTTTAATTATTAAATTCAAAATTCTCGTGAAGAAAATGTACAATTGATAGAAATTTTCTGTGATTTAACTCTACCTGAATATTTCAAAAATACGAGTAACACACTTGTTAACTTTAGGCTGAACTGTAAAAAAGAATTTAAAGGAGTTTCAAATAAAGCTATTAAATTTTTATTCCCTTTTTGAACAACCTATTTGTGTGAAAAAGGATTTTCTTCCTTGTTATATTTGAAAAAATACAGAACAAAATAAAAAGTGGATCCTAATTTACGGTTAAAGCTGAGTGAAATATGGCCAGACGTAAAGAAATTGAT